AACCCACGAAGGTCGCGGCGAACATCGTGCACCTGCTGCGAGCGGACATTGTCCATCTGGCAGAAGAGAATGCGGCTGTACTTGGTGAGGCAGCCATTCAGGCGCTCCTCGTAGTCCCGCTTGGCCTCGGAGACGGACGGCATGGTAAGAGATGCTTTAGTTCCGGGTTCTAACAATGCGCCGGGGTTTGTGCGTGTTCACGTGCGGGCGCAAACCACAACAGAAAAGTAAAACAAGAAAAAAGGAGGCGAAAAAGACAAAGGAAAAAAAACATTGCACTGCTGAGGCTCTCATCAAGCACACACGACCATCTGCAAAAACAAAAAAGGCAGCCGCCTGCCGCAGGACAAGAACAGAAACGCAACCTCAAATGAAAAAGAACAAAGTAAAAGCAAGAGAAAAAAAAGGACGAATCAAAATAGCGATGCAGTTCTCCACTGTGCCGTTTAGAACAGTCCAGCCATGCCAAAGTCTTCGTCATCTTCCTCATCCTCGGGCTCGGCGGCGGCGGCGGCGGCGGCAGGGGCAGCGGCAGCGGCGGCGGCAGGGGCAGCAGCATCAGCCGCACCACCGCCAAGTTTGCCCTCCAGAGCGGCCTGGCGCAGGTTCTTGCCGTCGAACTCGTCGAACTCGTACTCGGTGGCAACAGAGGCGCCAAGGAGGTTCTTGAAGGCGTCCATGATCATGTGCGGCAGCGTGGCCGCCGTCGGGATGCCAGCGCCCAGCGACATGGCAGCGACATTGCTGATGCCGTCCAGAAGGAACTTCTCCACGACTTCGTCGGTGATGGAGAGATCCTCACGGAGGAACAGGATGCCACGGTCCCACACGGACTGCACCTCCACCTGGTAGTAGAACGGGGAGATATCCAGCTTCTGCAGCAGTGTGGCCGTTGAGTTGTCCACACGGTCGCCAACGGACAGCACCTTCTTCTCCGCCACGATTTCTACGGTACCCTTCGAAATCTTTGTCGCAATGTTCAGTGCCTGGAAGAAGGAGGTTGCCTTGGGCTCCATGCCAGTGTTGCCGGCGGGGACGACGACGTCGCACGGGGCGATGGCGCCCACGCGGGCGGGGGCCTGCACACGGTGCTTGTCCAGCACGTCCGTAATAACGGAGATCTCCTCGTTCGTGAAGACGAGGGCGGTGTTGCCGCACAGCAGCTTCCGCTCGATGCATTTGTTGTAGAACAACTTGTCGGACTCTGTCGCCTTCTTCTCCTCCGCGCGCTTCTCCACGATCTTCTTCTGGAGTGTCTTCTTGCCCATCACAAGCTCACCCAACCCACGAAGGTCGCGGCGAACATCGTGCACCTGCTGCGAGCGGACATTGTCCATCTGGCAGAAGAGAATGCGGCTGTACTTGGTGAGGCAGCCATTCAGGCGCTCCTCGTAGTCCCGCTTGGCCTCGGAGACGGACGGCATGGTAAGAGATGCTTTAGTTCCGGGTTCTAACAATGCGCCGGGGTTTGTGCGTGTTCACGTGCGGGCGCAAACCACAACAGAAAAGTAAAACAAGAAAAAGGAGGCGAAAAAGACAAAGGAAAAAAACATTGCACTGCTGAGGCTCTCATCAAGCACACACGACCATCTGCAAAAAACAAAAAGGCAGCCGCCTGCCGCAGGACAAGAACAGAAACGCAACCTCAAATGAAAAAGAACAAAGTAAAAGCAAGAGAAAAAAGGACGAATCAAAATAGC